GGCTCCCGGGTTGCTCCTACATTCCTGTCACGAAGGCATCGTCCATCCTTTGCCTCTAGACTCGCGTGTGTCCACGTTTTATGAGAGTCAGGTGATACACTCGTCGTTTGGAGGAAAGATCGATAGTCTAATGGATGAAATATTTCAAATATAAGATCGTATTTTGGGTGAATTGACTTGAGATGGCATTGTAGGCTTAATAGAATAAAATAGGCTTATAATTGGAATGGCAGTGACTAGCTATGAGACAAGGGAGATTTGCTATGGGCTGTGCTGATCTTTCTTAAACTGACTTTAGACTTTGACACACTGCCTTTGACTGAAAACTCTTAGACTGGAACTGGCTTAAAAACTGACTTTCCTGGAATGCAAACTCTTTGACAGACTTTGGATATTCTTGGACTGAACTGTTAGACTGCCTTGGACTGACTCACGCCCTTGTACCCTTATTTAAACCATTCATTTTGTCCCTTTTTCGAACTTAGGCTTTCCTTCCTAATCATACCCCTTTCCTTGTAAGCTTGGTGGACCAGGTACTTCAAACACGTGTCATAATACTGATGAACTAACTTCCAATTGTCTATCTTGCTCGGCTCTGTCATATACATCCATTCGATCCTCTTACACGTGGTCACCTGTGTTATAAGTTCAAACACTCTCGATACTCCTTCAGGACTATACTCATTCCAATTCTATGGAAATAAATTTATGAAATAATTTTCATTTTTGTATTAAAATATAAGTATGCTTCGTCGTATTTATCGTTTATCGTTTGTAAATGGTACTCAAAATGACATGTCTGACGTTTGTTGTTTCAGATCCGTCTGCTTCCGGCTCGTCCTGCGAAGATGACGAAGATGGCCGCCGCGTTGAGATCAGGAAGCACAAGAACAGCTTGTACGCGTCTTCCTCCACCCGTGCTCCTTCAGTAGATCGAGGAAAAGAGTTAAACTCGACGGACGGAGCAGTGGTGGACTGCGTAGCCCTGGTCCATCTGACAGATCAATCACCCACCGAGTCTAATCAACCGGTGCGTCATCCATCACCCTATTACTACGGCGACCTGTTCAAGGTACCGGAGCAAATAAGCAAGTCACAGCCGAACAGGTACAGAAAAAGCGTTAGTCTCGACGTACCGGGTGAGCGATCGCGAACACCCGGTATACCGAAGAGAAACTCGGTGGCGGGTGATGGGGGTTCCTATTCATCTCAGCAACAACAAAAACAGCAGCAGCAGCAGCAGCAGCCACAGCATTATCAGCAGCAGCTACAGCTACAACAGCATCCGTTACAACCGCAACAACATTATCAAAGTCAGGATCTAGTGAGCCCCACGTCGGGGAGCGAGCATGCTGTCCCAGCCAGAAACGAGATCCTCTCGTCGTGCATCATCACCGAGTGGGATCACACCCTCATGCCTCCTCATAGATTGCTAAGCCATGACCTGCCGACAACGGTCTGTACTTGCGTCGCATCGGCTGAAGAAGAGGAGGATGAGCTAGATCAACGACAGCCGCAACTAACGCGGCACCAAGTGCGCAAGCTACGTCGTACACGAAGGATAGACCCGCAGCCGATACTCGTCGAGGACGAGGACGACGTGGAGGGAGAGGACGAGGGTGAGGAAGAGGAGGAGGAGGACGTGGAGGTGGAGGAAGACGAGGAAGAGATGGCTAGGCAGCGGCACCTCTACGAGACGGCCTTCGACTGCAAGGTCAACCGCTCTGACGATGACCTCGATGATCTCGATCGGGTTACCAATCATCCCGTCTTACATTCGCAAGTACGTGCATTACTTTCTAGAAATTCCACGATATTTCCAATATTTTAACACTATGGCGTCACGTTGGTACCATGCGCAAGTAATGAGTCAGTCCTACCGGCATCGAACGAAAGAATCCCAATTAGACATGTAGACGGCATAGCGTTAAAAGCAAATACTCGATCCAAACACCTCGGATTCGATCCTTCCTCGAAATTGACGTCAGAAAGTATATCTCAGCGCGAAAAATGAGCTCTCGGTATCTTTGCTTCGTTTCATCGCTCATGGAAGCAACCATGGTGTAATCGCTCATACGCGAACATCTGTGTTTGCCATTTATTCTCGGGTTTGTTGCATGCCCCGATGCCAGGGAAGTTAGGGGCGCTAGTCTTTAATGAAAAGCAATTAAAGTCCAATATAGCCGAAAATGTTACGGGATTTCGGAACACGAACTATGAATTTCCCCCTGTCGAGCTGAAATTGGACTTTAATTGCGGTCGAACCGTATAATTCGCTCATTTCGCGATAGCCTAATTACCGCTTCGCATCGCGTACCCAACTTTTAATACACTCGAGAGATGTGTAACGGAATTAATTCTCGCATTGGTTTACATGAATTAAAGTAAATTCAAGTGGATCGGAAAGAGAACCTCGCGAATATCGGAATAACCTGTGGTTTAACAACGCAGATAAGAAGCAGCAGCGCGATACCGGTAAGCAGAACGAGCTCATCGACGGATACGTCTAAGCAGCAGCAACAGCAGCAGCAGCAGCAACAGCAGCAGCAAGTCCCATACGCTGGTCAGTCCCACAGCAGCAAAGATCGACGCAAAGTCGTACTTCTCCGCCCAAAACCGATTCCGAGCCGGCTTCAGCAGCAGCAGCAGCAGCAGCAACAGCAACAGCAGCAATCAGACAATATTTGTACTTTGTCCCAGGACATCGAATCCCTCCAGATCAATTCGAGCGACGAGAAGACCGGGTCGCCCAGGCTACCCGCCAGAGGTTACACTCCGTCGCCTCCATCCACGGCACCGTTGCCGGCCAAGTTCCACGGCAATCGCGACCACTTGCTGTTGAACATTCGCAGCACACCGAACTTACCCTGTCAGCCGGACCATCCGCGTCTCAAGGACCTGAGATTGCCAGTGAAGTCCTCACTGAGGGCGAAAGACTCGCCGCAGAGCAGCGAGGGCAGTATCCTCGAGATCAAAGGTAGACCAAAAAGTTTTGCTCAAGACAGTGTGGAATCGTCGCAGGGCCGACGCTTCGACAAGGAGCTGATCCTAGAGTTCAAGGGCAGGCCGAGGGAGGAGAGACAGCGACCACGAAGCTTGATCCGCGAGAGCAAGCCTATCATGGAGTTCAAGGGCAGGCCTCACGAGGCTGAGAGCGATCTGTTGCGACCTCGCAGAGAGGTAGGTCTGTTGGAATTCAAATTGCGGACCAGTAGACGCAGACCTGGCTACTCTAGCACGGAGAGCATGGCTACCAGTAGCAGCGGTGGCAGCATGGAGTCTCTTCGCAGCAGCACCAGCGAGGGTAACAGGTCTACCAGTAGCTCTGAGAGCCGTCATAGTACCAGCCTCAGCTCTCACAGCTCTGACAGCGGCAGCACCAACTGTTACCATCATCATCAGCAGCCTTCGATGACCGGTTTCCTCACTCATCACGCGACCAAGCTGCATATACTCTCTCCTATCTCTGATAAATCGTCCCAGGAGCCTGCGTCCGAGACCTCGGATAACAATCGCAACAACAACTCCCAGGCCTCTCCGGAGGAGAACGTGACTACGGAGAACAACCTGACCGCGTCGAATAACACGAACACGAACACGAACACGGCCAACACGAACACGAATTCCGTGACCTCGCCCATGGACACGTCGTTCAAGAAGAGGCGCACGCCGCAGAACAAGAATCTCATTAATTTGGCCCTGCAGTCCTCGTCGTCGGGCGATGCGGAGATCCAAGGGTCGGACAGCGGCATCTCGATCGAGTCGCGAGCCGGGATCAAGTGCAAGCCGTTCGGCTTCCACTTGTTGAAGCCGCAGCTGGATAACATCAATCTTGTCGACAACGAGCCGGAGCTGTCCGATCTGCCTTTTGACATGCCAAAGTTGAGAAGGAGGCGATTACTTATGCAACAGGACGCCACCACGTCTGGCAGCGCGACCAGCGTGGATCTCAGGGACCTGCCGTTCGACATGCCGAAACTGAGAAGAAGGCTGAGATGCATGCAGAGCACGGAATCCAGCGGATCGCAGGCCTCCTCCAGTCTTTCCGTGCGAGACGTCGAGCCTCCTGCTTTATTCGGTGAGTCTGCCTTGCTTTTATTCGATTGCGGAGTCGCGCTAGGTTTGCCACGCAAATAGCGCTTCTTGGTTAGGGTGCTCCTCTCCAATGTCGAGTGTGGTAGTCGCACGTACATGTACTCTGAGGGATGCGAAGGAGCTGCTCGAGGTGGTCGGGTATTGCGTTTAAGGCTAGGGTAGAGGATGTGTCGTTCTTGCCATCGAATATGTAATAGAATTCTCGTGTACACGTTGATGCAATTGTGCTGCCAACTTTAATTTTATTTTATTAGGTTTGGCTTGGGTTAGGTAATAATATTTATTACGTTAATTTAAATACAGACTACGTCACTCGCGACTGTCATGGTTAACTGTCACTAGTGGATCTCAAACGATTCTCTTATAATACTCTATTTTGACACACTTCAACTAATCCCGAGCATCCCTTTTTATATCTATGCATACTACACACTGCCAAGTGTCCAAAAATTCTACATGCATTCTAGGAACTCGTTCATTCTTCTCGCACTACTGATAGTCTAGCCTAAGCATAGTCTAGCCTCATCAGTCGCATTGACAATCATTCGGTCCACTGTCAATACCACAATTTTCTTTATTTATAGATCACACTGTGGACAATATTGTAAGTTAACTTTCAGTAAGAATTAAATTATTATTGGTATTGGTATTGGGCTGTTTAAAACTCTTCAATTAGTCCCTTGGCATCCCTTTTTATACCTGTGCACACCACGTACTAGTGCTACAGACTGCCAAGTGTTCATAACTTCCACGTGCATTCTAGGAACTCGTTGATTCTTCTCGCACTACTGACAGTCTAGTCTAAACATAGTCTAGCCTCATCAGTTGCGTTGACAGTCACTCGGTCCACTGTCAATACCACAATTTCCTATATTTTTGTATCACACCGTGGACAATATTGTAAGTTAATTTACAGTAAGAATTAAATTACTATTTCCAAAGTATTGGGTTGTTTAACACTCTTCAATTAGTCCCTTGGCATCCTATTTTATATCTATGCACACTACACGCTCGTGCTACACACTGTCAAGTGTTCAAAACTTCCACGTGCATTCTAGGAACTCGTTCACTCTTCTCGCATTACTGACAGTCTATCCTAAGCATAGTCTCATCTAAGAATTAAATTATTATTTCCAAAATATTGAATTGTCTAAGACACTAGACAACGTTCGACCTGTAAATAGATAGTTCCTATTAAAGTAGCTGTATTTCTAATCTGCTAAATATCACATAGTCCCATGCTAATTATTTATTACAGACGAAAACGATCAAGACATTTGTCAGATACGTGTCAGAATTAAAATGTTTCAAGACCAAGCAACTGAGTTAATTTTTCTCACAAAAGCGAACCGTGTCAAAGCTTCTGTTAAAAGAACGAGCCTTGAAAGTTCGCTGTCCAACGTAGTGAGCCTTGAAGTGAATCCTCCCTTCTTTAATCGAGCGTCTAGCCATTAAAACGATAAAAACCGTACTTTCGGCATCTCGAGGTAAACTAAGTACTTATCAACGCTAGGGGACACCGTAATTTGATGCTGATCGTTATGAACCTTCCAGACAGCGGCTAATATCGTTAAGCTTCACTTAGCGCCTGCATCCCTCTCAGAGGCTAAATATTTAACGTTACCAACACGTGCTCCTTCCTTCACATACACATCACACGCTCGCTCGCGTTTCGCTCTCCACCCAACCATTACGTCTAAATAATTTCAAAAACACCAACCTGGAGACAGAACTTAAGAAACTATGTTAAAATTCTTCGAATCTTCGCTTGATTTAACTCGACTTTGACTCTGTCACACTTTTCTTCATTTATTCCTGCAATCCGAGATTATTGCTCGGTGGGAACCTAACTTTGCGAGCAAAAGGGACGCCTGGGAGCTTTTATTAACATCGTCCCGTGGGTATTTCTCGTGGAAACTTTCAGTTGTTCGAAAAATCGTTCAATAATGCACTGTTTTGGTGGGTTTCTTTATTTAACCGAAGGACTCGAAGGCTGTCATTGACAGAACGCGAAACCGTGCGGTTTGTCTGTCGCCGTGAGAAGCAAATCAGGCTAGGCTTAACTCGATTTGCTCGACGAATCAGTTATGCACTGCTCGCTCGTTGCTGTATAAACATAGATTACCGTCACGCCAAACGTAACGCGACGATGCGTGCATAACGCCGCGGAAGGGTTCTGTTATCCTGATTTGCACCTGAATCCGGCCTGATTTCCTCGGAACCAATGCACCTGAATTTGGAAAATTTTTGTGGCGTTATGGTAGGCAATGAAATATAGAAACATGTTTGAAAAGGGGGAAAAATGGGAAGAATGGAAAAGGTAATAGAGTGGTTTTCGAGATAAAAGAAGAATTATGAAATATATATTATTATTAAAAATATTTTGAATATTATATGGGGTTTCAAGATGTTCCAGGTGATTTATAAATTTTAGGTAATATTGGTAAAATGAACGAGTTTTAGGAGGAACTATAGATAATTTTATATAATTAGAATGACACCCCATGTCAAATTTAGGAATATTCTATATAATATAGAATAATAATATATAATATAGTAGTAGTAGGGTAAGGGAGTGATAGAAATTTCTTAACACCTTGACTGCCACCACGAATGTCATCAGTGCCAGGCGCTTGTCTTCTCAGTGGGGCTATAGTGATTACCAGTGTCGTGCAATACTAATTTTT